TTATTCTTCAATTGGGGGGTATTGATGCAAGTATATGTAGTCGAGTTAGTTAAAATGAATGTAAAGGAATCTGAAAATCTGTTAGAAAGCTGTTAGAACTGTTAGGCAGTTAACACTGTTCAGCTGTCAAGAAATTAGTTAGTTAGTTACTTTTGTTGTATTCTTCTTTAAGTCATTTTACCCATTAATTAGTTGTATAAATACATGGAAATGTACTGATTCACTCATTCATGAATAATATCATTCTACTATTTCTTCCTTCTTCTACATCTTCTCAGTTAATCTTCTCGGTTGTACCCTGAATTAGTTTTCATCTTCTTCGAGCCACAACTCCTAGATTAACTACTATCATCACGATTGAGTGTGAGTGCATCATTCTTTGACAAGAACTGCTTCACTTATTGCTAGCTCAAATCTGCAATCGGCTAGAAGAATCTCTAGCTTTCAATTATATGATATAATTTGAATAACAATACACTTACCTAAATTAATGTGCAAATCAATAGGAACTGCATCCTATACTTTTTCCAAAAATGTTATGTGTATTATATAAAACTTAATAGAGTACATGAAAAGTTTTCTAATGGATGAAAATTAAAAGTATTACTAAAAAATTTAGAATTAATGGGATAACTGCATATAATCTATATATATATATATATATATATATAAAGCTGGATATAAGATTGCTGACGTGTCACCTCTCAAAAGTTAGAATTCTTATTTATCTTTTCTCTTATTTTTTTGAGTTTTTCATAGTTTTAATTTATGTAATATGTTTTTAAAAAGAGGGAACCCATCGGTGGCCCCCTAAACTTGGCACCAACTTTCACTTGGACACTTTAACTAGGCTTTGTTCATTTTAAACACCTCATGTCAAGCCTCATTGTGTCATTTTGACACTTTTTATATTTTCAAAATCGCATTTTAAGTGCGTACATCCAGACGCCTCTTATGTGGAAAAATAAACGAATTGGTATGTGACACGTGGAAATTTTATTTTATTTTTAAAAATCTCAATTTTACTTTCTTTTTTTCTTTCTTCCAGTTCCCAAACCCCATGCCCCCACCTCTTTTCTTCTTCTTCTTGAGCCTCCTTCCCCTTCATCTGTTCTTCTCCATCAAAAAGGCAAGAACATAGGTTAGTTTACAAAGTAAAATACGTTTTGGAGAATAAGGGAAATCATACCAAATCGAAAAGTTTTTATATGACATTTAAAAGAAGATGATTTCTTGTGCTACGACGATTGGGATTTACAATGAAAGATATGTAAAATAAATTTCTTTTTTTTCATTGGAGGTTGTTCTTTATTTCTTTTTTATTCCTTGAAATCAATTTAATTTTCAATGGAGAAGGTAAGAATGTAACTCAGTTTTTCCATTTGAAAGAAGTTGATTTCTTTTTTTGTTCCCTTGAAATCGATTTTGTTTTTGAATATGAATCAAGATGCAAATTCGATTTTCAAAGAAGATGGAAGAATCAAAGAGTGTAACCTAGTAAAATATGGTAGAATTTTTTTAAAAAGTTGTGTGGTGATGGAGGATGGTAGAAGGTGGGGAAGGTGGAAGGGAGAAAGCAAGGAAGAAGAAGGAGAAGAAAATATTTACAAAAAAATTCAGAATATTTACAAAAAAAGTCTCTGACGCGCTCAAAATTCGTGTAGCACATGTACTGTGCTTAGTCAGCAAAAAGTGTCAAAATGACACAATGAGACCCTACATGAGGTGTCTAAAATGAACATCGCCCACTTGAGGTGCCTAAGTGAAACTTCGTGCCAAGTTTAGGGGGTCACCGATGGGTTAGGTCTTTAAAAAATAAAAGTTACCTCATTTATTAATAAAAAGATGAAACTGTCATTTTAAGTGAATTAAAACTAGTACGGTTAGTAATTATTAGCATTGCTCATTCGTATTCCCATCTCTAATGTTACTTTTTCTTCTCATGTCTTTTGATATTTCATATAAATTTGAACATAATTGGGTATATTGTTATACATTTCCCATAATTGTTCATTTTTATTTTTTAAATACACTCTCTATAATTATCATCTATATTTATATATATTTTAAACCTAAACTTAGAAGACATGATGTGGTATGCTTCAAAAGCCAACAAATTTGTAATGCTGCTTTATCTCTGTTTTGGTTATTTTTATTTCATTTTGTTTATTTATTTATTTATCCATTAAATTTCTGAGTATTAAAAACTTGACTCATTGAACTTAATTATCGCTTTATTATGCAACCTTTTGCATTCTCACTTTCAATTTTAAGCTACACATTGAATGGGGCAATAACTAGAAAAGGATAAGCAAAACAAAATTGGCTATATAAGGCTTATGTGCAAAATGTGTGTGTATGAATGGTATGAGGCATACATGTTTAAAGAGAGATCAATTCTTTTGTTTTTCTTTTAATTTTTGGTCTTGCACAGTTCCAAAGAAAAAATTGTGTTTTAGTTTTAAGAAGCTTTAATTTGTTTCATTGTCTCCCCAAAATGTACAGATCAATTTTATGAACGGGGAAGAGATTGATTGGTAAATAACTGCTAACTGATCTTGCAAAGGGTCATTTTGATTTGATTCAATGCATGTTAAAGTAGAATACCAGGACATTAAATTGGTATAAAAAATTGAAAAATAAGTTAAGGAAGTTGAAACGAAACCAAAATATTGAATAGAGGACAGTTTTAGGAAGATGAAAAAGCTAGCAATTCCAAGACATTGATTATAGGCAGCTGTAATTGTGTGATAATTAAAATATTACTCCTATTTAATTAGAGTAGATATTTTATTTATTACATTAGGGTGCAGTAATTGTGTAACAATTTAAATATTGCTACTAATTAGATTAGATATTTTTATTTAGTATAAGGGTAAAAGAGTAATTCAACTTTGAAAATTGAGCCTCCCACTTTTATTTAATATAAAATATAAAATATAAAATATATCATATATAATATAATAATAATAATAATAATAATGATGATAATAATAATAATATATATATATATGATGTTGATTTGTTTATTTCTTTTCAAAGGTCAATATTGTATGGCTTTATTCTAGTGGTAAGAGCACAACTCATGGATGTATGAGCTCCTCTGTGCTCATAAGTCCACAATTATCAAAAAGAAAATTTATGTGTGGCCTTAAAGTTGTATGTTTTTGAAGGTCACTGAAACATACTCCATTTGTGAACTCAGCCAGGTCTTTATTGATATGGAAAGTACCATACCTGAGGCATCAAAGCGCCCGATGAAGGCCACTGAGAGAAGTACAGTGGCGGAAAACAAGAAGGCTCTTCAGTTCATTGAAGAGGTAACGATCAACGTTGATGAGGTCCAAAAGAGAGTTCTTGCTGAAATCCTCTCTCGAAATGCCAACGTTGAGTACTTGCAGCGCCATGATCTCAATGGTCACACTGATAGAGAGACATTCAAGAAAGTCATGCCTGTCATCACCTACGAAGATATTCAGCCTGATATTAACCGTATAGCCAATGGTGATAAATCTCCAATCTTCTGCTCCCAACCCATCTCTGAATTCTTGACAAGGTTTGTCTTCTCGAAATGTGCATCTCCATCTCAATAGTGTCCTATTATAAAGTACACAATTCACATTCTCTGTATCTCATAAAGCTCGTTCTGGCGTGTGTATTCTTTGTCTTTAATTTAAGCTGAAGTGCATTCTTTATGTGCAGTTCTGGGACGTCCGGAGGGGAGAGAAAATTGATACCAACAATTCCAGAAGAGATTGAGAAGAGATTTCAGCTTCGCGGCCTTGTGATGTCTGTGATAAGCCAATTTGTTCCAGATTTGGAAAAGGGCAAAGGAATGTATTTCTGGTCCATAAAGTCCGAAGCCAAGACCCCAGGAGGATTAACAGCTCGCCCTGTTTTAACAAGTATGTGCAAGAGTCCTTATTTCAACAACAACTGGTTTAGCCCTTATGCAAACTACACTAGTCCAGCTGAAACCATTCGCTGCCCAGACTCTTACCAAAACATGTACTCCCAAATGCTTTGTGGTCTCTACCAATGCAAAGAAGTCCTCAGCGTTGGCTCACCCTTTGCATCCAGCTTCATCCGTGCCATCCGGTTCCTAGAAAAGCACTGGTCTCTACTTTGTAACGATATTCGAATGGGAACCCTTAACACCCAAATTACAGATCAGTCAGTGAGAGAGTCGGTGATGAAAATCCTCAAACCTGACCCAGAGTTAGCTGATTTCATCGAGGCTGAATGCAGTAGAGATTCATGGCAAGGGATCATCGCTAGGTTGTGGCCTAACACAAAGTATGTGGCTGTTGTTGTAACCGGAAGCATGTCACAGTATATACCTACCCTTGATTATTACAGCAATGGCCTCCCTCTTGTCTCTACCATGTATGGTTCCTCAGAATGCTACTTTGGAATCAACTTGAACCCCTTTTGTAAGCCCAGTGAAGTCTCTTACACCCTTATTCCCACCATGTGCTATTTTGAGTTCGCACCAATTCACCGAGACAATGGAGTCATTAATTCTATCTCCAAGTCCAAGCTGCTTAATGAGAAAGAACAAAATCAATTAGTTGATTTGGTTGATGTCCAGATTGGCCAGGAGTACGAGCTTGTTGTTACCACATATTCAGGTACTTTCAAATGCCAAACAAAATGCTAGACTCATTACTTTTTTACAATTTGTCTGTCCAACATGTCTGCTAATGATTATTTTGCTTGGACTTGTGCCATTTCAGGACTCTATAGATACAGGGTCGGTAATGTGCTTCGAGTTGCTGGATACAAGAACAATGCACCTCAATTCTACTTCATATGTCGGGAAAATGTAATCTTGAGCATTGATTCGGACAAGACTGATGAAGCTGAGCTACCAAATGCTGTGAAAAATGCAGTGCACAATCTGATACCATTTGATACAAATGTAGCCGAGTAAACCAGCTATGCCGATACCGCCACCATTCCAGGCCACTATGTCCTGTTCTAGGAGCTCAATGTGAATGGCTCTACCCAAATTCTTCCTTCTGTCTTTGAAGATTGTTGCCTCACCATTGAAGAATCTCTAAATAGCGTCTACCGCCAGGGGCGTGCCTCTGACAAATCCATTGGGCCTCTGGAAATCAGGATAGTGGAAATTGGGACTTTTGACAAGCTCATGGATTACTGTGTTAGCTTAGGTGCTTCCCTTGACCAATACAAGACACCCCGATGTGTGAAATTTGCACCCCTTGTTGAGCTATTGAATTCGAGAGTCATGTCCAGACACTTCAGTCCCACGTGTCCAAACTGGCTTCCTGGTAACAAGCAATGGAACAACATGAATTGAATGGCTAGTTTGGTGTTTCAGACCACAAGAATTATAATAAAGACTTAGCTTCTCTTTATTGATCTTATTTTGTGTCATCGTCTCTTTGCTTTTGCTATAGTCACAACACTCTTGAATGAGAAACATCGTTACTTTTGTTTCATCTAATTTTTCTTAGCTTTGTTGTTCAGATGTATGTCTTGCTATCAAAAATGCAATGAAAAATATATATTACAATAAAAATTCTGTTTATCACAAAGTTTTCTTTAAAATAATTCATCATCAATTTAATCCATCTCTTGTGGACTTATGATCAGATGACATAAGTTTGTATGGTTTTCAATATGGGGTCAGGATCCATAGTAGCATCAACCTTAAGTATCCCTTCTGCTTCATCAATCTGAAGTAAATCCAGTTGGGTCTGCAAGAGATTTGCAGGCATGAAATGCTTTCCCTCAGCTGCTCTCTTGACCAGCCGAGCGGCAAGCACTTCAGCCCCAACATCCAACAACACGAATTTAACAATACTTGCATAAGAACCTGGTTCATAATTTGGGTCTGCAGATCTAAGGATTTCCCTGTACCGCTTTTTCAGAGCTGAGCAAGCAAGAACCAGTGTTTCTTTGTCAACTAATCCTCTTCTCAGTGTATTCCGCAATGCTTCAAGCCATGGAACACGATCTTCCTCGGAAAGAGGTATCCCATTCTTCATCTTCTCTGTTTTGATCAAGCAAATCGTCAATAAATGCACCCCTTGGGAATATGCTCTCATTGATCAGCCATGATTTTAATTAAAAAGTCATGATCATAGTCCTTACCTTTGTTAGACTCTGAGTGATAATCATCCGCATCAAGAAAGCGGCCATGAACAGCTCTTCCAAGCATCTCACCAATTGTTCTGAGCCAGTATGCATAAGAATTACTTAAAAGTTAGGAACTTGAAAATTGAACCACAGAGACGTATCAAATAGGAATAGCATGTTCATATAAGCTTCAAGTTTGTTTTTTTTTAGAAAAGGTCTCCTAGGAAGAGTAAACCATTGACTATCATGTATTGCATTACAGTGATTCAAGTCATTTTTCCTTGCCAAGTAACAAGATATTTTTGCTTCTATAATCTTAAGTTCTTTGTTAAGATCTAGTTTGACTATCAAGCAGTTAGAAACTGATCAATGACCTATACAATTTTTTTGGTTAAACCAAATTAGTAAGTAACTTGAAACCTTACGATTTTCCAGCTCCGCTGACACCCATAAGTACAATAGCTTTTCCTGTGAGGTAAGACATTACATGCAAGAGGAAAAAGTTTCATCATATCATTCATAACAAATGAAAGAAGAAAGAAGAACAAGATGGAAGGTGAATACAAACCTTTGTAGTCAGATGCCATTTTCGGAAAACCTATGACACAATTGCAAGTGCTTGATGTTGAAAGCATTAGATGATTAACCCCTTCAGATATTACAAGGTTTTGTGCATCTCTCTGATCCTAAAACACAGGAAATATCAGCAGTACATCAAGAATTAAGATCCAGTTAAGCTCTAGCTTTCTCAAAATTGCCACGAAAACAGCAAGTCGAAATCAAAGCTCTCAAGAACATTTTGGATCTGATCTTTTTAGGAAACTAAAGGAGAATAAAAGCAGCATGCTTTCAAGCCAACAGGTTGTGATAGTAGAAACAAACTCGGTAAAAAAGACAAAAACTCTTCTCCACACTAAGAATTCCATGCATTGTACTCCCACTATATATGCAATAAATGTTTATCTTAGTCACAAACACCTTCTTGATGGAGGTTGAAACAAGAAAAATATGCAATAAATGTTTTTTAATTAATAACTGTGGAGTCCGGACCAGCTTGTCCACACCTCAGACATATCGAATAACTCTATGAATCCTAAGACCTCATAGTTCTAAACCCACTTTATTGATCACCAAAACCGGTCGATTTTCAGTACCCAAACTTTGATTTTCTACCTGGTGCAGTTCAAAGCTACTAGCAACAACAACATACCCCGTGTAATCCCACAAAGTGTGGCTAGAGACGGTAGAGTGTAAGCAGACCTTACCCTACCTAATAGGCAACACATAATAACAAAACCAGCACACAGTAACAAAATAATACGATTATCGAGCTACAAGGAATCAACATATAGTAAAAGAAATCTAAGGACAAGAAACTATGGTTCAAAGATTCTAGCTTTGCAAAAATTTCAACTGTTTCAACTTCAATGATCAATGAAATCATCAAAGTTCCATCTTTTATGGTCTTAATTTTACCGATTAAAAAAATTGTCAGAAAATTTGTTAACATGGTTTGATAAACCGATAATGATGCATTTTAACTTGATAAAATTATAAAATTAATCATAAAAATTGGATTTAAACAAAATCCATAACTCGTGTAAACTAACTTACAAACTGAATTTCGCCGGACAAATGACCGGAGATTAGTTCGCCGGAAAAGGAGAAAAGCAAGATCACGTCTTCGCCGGCGAATACAGAAGAAATATGAAATAAATTGGTATTTTTGGGTCCCCTTTCTATCTAACTTGGGCCTACTACTTAAATCCAATTGGAACCCACCAACCTCAAATGGTTTTTACTGTTCGAGCAATCTCTTTTGTTAAATTTCACGAAAAAGCTTAATATTTTCGATGTTATAAATAAAGTGTCTTAATTTAATTGAATACAAAATTTAAAAAAACATAATATATAAATATCTTCTTTAAATTGATGTTTTCAATTTTTGGTGTCTAGATAGGCACTTAAACTTAGGTCATGGTATTTGAGGAAAATATTTTACTTTATGAAGAAATATAGCATATACTCATAAGTTTTAAAAACGATTAAAGTTTATATTATCATTTCATAATAAACATATTCCGTGAAAATCCATAATAGTGAACATAACTAATATGAATCTGAAAAAAAGAACAAAAAAAATAAAAGAAAAATATCATTAATTTGTATTAAAAAATCTACTATTACTAGTTGTAATTGAAAGTGAACTCGGAGAGCAAGCTCAAATAAAAACAATACAAACTATATATGATAGATATTTTATAAAATATTAAAGTTTGGGATAGTTATATTTTTTTTTAGTATTAAAAATTTCATGATGAAATATCTTACACCATAAAAGATAACAAACCAAAAAATACAAAACTCTCTCTCTCTTTCTCTCTCATCATTTCCATCATTCATGGCTTTTCTTCAATATTATCATCAATTTCAACTTATTTTACTCATTTTCTTCTTGTTGTTCATCTCTTTATCACATTCTTCAACTATGTCCATTCATGATCTTCTAAAATCCAAAGGCTTACCATATGGTCTTCTTCCAAAAGAAGTAAAATCTTATAATTACTCATCAACTAATGGGCTTCTTGAAGTTTATTTATATGGGCCTTGTTTGACTAAGTTTGATACAATAGCCTTTTATGAGAGTTATTTGAAAGCTAATCTTACTTATGGTAGCCTTAATGGTGTTCAAGGACTTTTACAAGAAGAATTATTTGTGTGGCTACCTGTTAAAGGAATTATTGTTGATGATCTTAATTCTGGGATTATACTTTTTGATATTGGATTAGCTCATAAACAACTTTCACTTTCACTTTTTGAAGATCCACCACATTGTAATCCAAATGGTAAAAATTCTTCCTCCCTTTACTCTTTTGTTGTGGTTATAGTTGAATCCGACCTGTTTGGGAATGAGATGCAGTTGTTATTGAAAATAGGTGAGTCTCACATGTAACTTGCTATAATGAGTCAACTGTCAAGTTATGATGATAGTTAAAAACCGATGTGATCTTATGTTCTATGAGTTTGATTGAACCTAGTATTTTTTTTTTATATTGGACAATGCTTCAAATGCCCTCAACTTATTTTCTCCTTTATGAGTCTGGATTTTTTAAGTAATTTCAATCGTGATTAGTCTAGAATTTTAATTTGAACTCAAATTTATATGGTAAATTCACAAAAATTATTACCACCTCTGTAATTGAAAAATAATCACTATTATGAAGTATCGAATTTCATATGTGAAACTCCAACACGTTATCGAGGAATTCCACCTGTAGAATTTGAAACTTCGTAACAATATTCATCTTTCACTTACGTGTCCAAAAAATAGTCGGTGGGCACTATTTTTACTATTATCATTGTTCTGTACAATGATAATGTTAAACACATCAAGTTTAAATTCCGATCCTCTATAATGAAAAATTTTCTTATACAAGTACAAACTGATTTCATCTCATGTGAACTTTGTTTATTCACGTGAAATAATGCTATGTCACTTATTTCGAGTTTTTTTTAAGTCCAATTGGCTAGTCAATTTTGTGTTGTACATTTTGTGTCTTTTTTATGCTACAGACTGAACATTACACTGCATTTTGTTGAATTTACAGGAATTCTGAAAAAGAAAACTGAAACAGGACAGAGATTTGAAGCACAAAGATAGAAAATGTTGTCTTGTGACTTAGATATTTACTTACAATAATAGTAGTTGTGTTTCTCGTCCGTTATTTGGTATCTGTTTTGAAGAAAATTTCATTACAAGGGTAAAATGTTTCCTTCCAAAGATAGACTTCATACCATGACTCATGCTCGAAACTTCTAGTTAAAAATGACGGAGTACTTAACACGCCACTATAACTTTTTGGTAGTGTATTAGTTACATATTAGTTTCTTGAAATCGTAGGATAAGAGTCTCTATTTAGATGGAAGGTTGTAGAGAATTTGGAAATATAAGATCTATTGTTGATTAGATGGAGATATATGCTAATCTTCTAAGTATTAACTTTGTATATCTTTTGTTTATTTGGTTGTTTGGATCTTTTATAGATTGATTAGATAACTCCAAAGCAAAGGATCTCTTAAGATCCTAACTCTCTTAACAATCTTTCCTATCTATAGTTAATTTGAAATTTACCGAACTGATTAATTTGAATTTACATCGAATAAATAGACTAACTTAGGGGGGTAAAATGCTCACCAATAATAAGTTTTTTGTTTTTCCAATTCAAACTTCAGATATTTAATTAAAGATAGAAAGATTTCAACCATTTCACCATACACGGTAGATTGTCAACCACTAGATTAGTATTAATGGATTATTAAAACCTATGGCACTACAAACAATGGGTACATGGGACCATAAGGACCTACACATTCACATATATGACTGCCTTTTATGGAAGTAGTTGATGATTACATTCAATTTTTATTGGACCAACTTATTATGGACCCTCTCACATTGTATTGTTTTTAGTCTTATCTTTGAACTAAGGTACTTCAATAACTACCTGTCTAATTTCGTAAGTGAGATTTTAAAAATAAAGTGTGCGTAAATTTTTTTATATCTTGAGTAAAATAGAGAAGTTGTTTATTATAAGATCTTCAGTTTAAGAAAAACGTTTATAGATTTAAAAATACAAGAGTAAAAACATATAATTAAGAGAAGAGAAAATTAATGACACCAAAATAGTAGGAATAATCGAGTGAAAGAAACAACAGTTGTATAATTAAGGAATACGATAACACTCACACATATAATGAGACTGATAAGGGGAAGGGGAACGAAGTAAAGTGTTCTAAACCAGCGTGAAGCTCTCCCACATAACATAGATAAAACGTACAACTGCCTACTAATTTTCTATCATAATCTTTGACCTTTACGCTCTCTTATCAAGTGTAATGTCCTCAGTAAGTTGAAAATGTGTCATATCATGTCTATTCACCTCCCAATATTATTTCTTCGATCTACCTCTTCTTAAACATATCACTATCAATCTCTTGTACCCAGGGACGGCTGGTAAGTTATAAAAAAAAAGTCTTTGGCCTTAGGCCCCCAATAAATTGAGGGCCCCATTTTAAAGTTAATTAGGTAGGTTTAAACTAAAAAAAAAAAAAATAGAACTAAGACAACAAATGCAAACGACATTAATGAAGGGATAGATATGACAATTACTTTTTCCCTTTCCAATAAAAAGTTGTGTACTTTTTTTTTTAATGTACAAGTTATCTTTTTTTTTTACCTTATTCTTTTTCTAATTTTATTTTTATATATTCTATCCTCCTCTCTTCTTCTCTTCTATTTCTTCTCTCTTTCTCTTTTCTAATCTTGTATCTCTCTCTTATTCAAAACTTAAGAATTTCCTTATTCTATTGATAGTTTATATTTTAAATTTGGAGAAAAATATATTGCAACAACCCAATTCATTTTCGAAAATCAAGTCTTCATCGTTCTTGAATTCGGTAATATCATTCTAATTTTTAATGTTATTTTTGTTTTGTGTCTTATGTTTATTATATTTTTATTTGATATTGTAAATAGTGTTTAAAATATTTGTTAGAATTTAATATGTCAACTAGAAAATATGAATCCGGTCATTCAAAACTTTAAAGAAAAAGAAAAGTCGATAACTTGATAAAATCTCAAAAAGGTGCTCTTGATAAATTTTAGAAGTGGTTTGGCTATATTATCGATTGAAAAAGAATTATTAGAAGAGATTGACTACACAAAAATTATTAACAATTTTGCATCTCAAAAGCTAGAAAAATAGATTTAAAATAAAAATATTTTTAATTTTTTTTTTAAGGCCTCTAGTTTGATTTTGGCCTTAGGCCACCAGCGGGTTTGAGCCGCCCCTGCTTGTACCTCCTCACTAGGACATTTGTATTCTTTCTTTTCACGTGTTTGAACCATCTCAATCTCATTTTCTATCTCTTATCCACCACGAGTCATTCCCATATTGTCATGTATCCTCGTATCTCTTCTAGTATGTCCATTACCTCTCCTTAAACATATCAATCTCTAGTACCACCTCGTTAGGACATTTGTACTTCTCCTTTTTACATGTTCGAACCATCTCAGTCTCATTGTTACATCTAGTCCACCACAAATGTCATTCCCACATTGTCATGTATCCTCATATCTCTTCTAGTATGTCCACACATCCATCTAAGCATTTTTATTTTCGCTACTCTCATCTTTTGAACGTGTGAATTCTTGATTAACCAACACTCTACTCCTTAAAACATATTTGGTCTAAATAAGCACTCTATAAAACTTACCAAGCTACAAGTTTGAATCAAAACTTCAAACAAAAATGTTGAAAAATTGCTTACACAATTAATTTGTCAAACTTCAGACTCATATACAACTTCAGACATGAATAAATTTTAACGTCATTCCCGTAAGTCTTGAACTTGATTATAAAACGGCTAAACTTACAAAAAGTTATATACTTTAGCTATGACTTAAATAACGATTAAATATTCCCGTGACTCTTGAACTTGATTCTAAAACAGTTAAACTTATAAAAAGTTATATACTTTGGCTATGACTTAAATAACGATAAAATATTCCCTTGAGTCTTGAACTTGATTCTAAAACAACTAAACTTACAAAAAGTTATATACTTCAGCTATGAAATTAAATAACGGTTAAATATTCCCGTGAGTTTTGAACTTGATTCAAAACGGCTAAACTTACAAAAAAAAAGTTATATACTTCATCTATGACTTAAATAACGATTAAATATTCCCGTGAGTCTTGAACTTGATTCTTAAAGGGATAAACTTACAAAAAGTTATATACTTTAGTTATGACTTAAATAACGATTAAATATTCCCCGTGAATCTTGAACTTGATTCTAAAATGGTTAAACTTATAAAGAGTTATATACTTCGGCTATGACTTAAATAACGATCCTCAAATCGACTATCGGTCCACTTGCTCCTTATCAAAGTGGAAACTAATATTGGGCCATGATATCCGTATATGGGCTCAAAATCATTCTTGGACCAAATTTCTTAAGCCCAAATCATAACTAGGGCAATCCATTACCCTCTAAAAACCCTAGTATATCATCTTCTTCCTATCATTCTCCTCAAAACCCCTCCGGCGAGAGAGTGTAGAGAGAGAGAAACCGGCGAAATGGGTCGTGTGATCAGAGCACAACGTAAGGGAGCTGGGTCGGTTTTCAAATCCCATACCCACCACAGGAAAGGTCCGGCCCGATTCCGTACCCTCGATTTCGGCGAGAGAAATGGATACCTGAAAGGAGTAATCACAGAGGTGATTCACGATCCAGGGAGAGGTGCACCACTTGCACGCGTGACATTCCGTCATCCTTTCAGGTACAAGCATCAGAAGGAGCTGTTCGTTGCCGCTGAAGGGATGTACACTGGACAGTTTGTGTATTGTGGGAAAAAAGCTACTCTTATGGTTGGTAATGTGTTGCCGCTTAGATCTATTCCCGAAGGAGCTGTTGTTTGTAACGTTGAGCATAAAGTTGGCGACCGTGGTGTTTTTGCTAGGTGTTCTGGTGATTACGCCATTGTTATCAGTCATAATCCTGATAATGGTACCACTAGGTATATATTATTACTCGTTTTGTTTCAATTGTATATTTTTGAACCCCTAATACATGCTTATGCTTTTGTTAGTATGATTGAAAACTAACCTGACTAGTTTAGGATTGATGCAGTGGTGAAGCTAGAAATTTTGTTGCGGTGCTGAACTTAACTATACATACTAAAAAACATAATTTGACTTATATAGTGGCTGGCTACCCTTAACTATACGTGGCTACGCCACTCGATTGATATGGTGTAGTTGGTTTGATTAATTGACTTGATAAATGCTTCTATTTGTATGATTAATTGATGGTTTGATTGCTGGATAAAGTAGCATAGTCAAGATGATGGTTAAGTTTAAACTTGTGGGGAAAATGGTTTGGATTTGACCCTTTTTTTTGGTAATATTGCCTATGAAATATATATCTGCTTAAGAGTACTTTGCTAGTGTAATTGGATGAAGACATGGTTCGTTGAAGTCGGGTTGCTATCCCGATACAATGTTGTGTTTCTATTCAATATGTGGATAGACTAGTTTAATGTGAAGTTCGTGCTGTTGGAGTTGGGGAAGGAGGTTAACTGTATCAGATTATCTTGTCCTATGAATGAAGCTTTGCTATGTGAGAAGTGTCCTTTTTTTCCCCAAATAATATCCATTGTTTTAAACTAGTTTGTAAGTTTGTCATTGAGGTGCATTGTAGTGATGGTGAAGAAAGACTCAGAAGTGTATTGTGAAACCTGATTTTGTATATGTATGATGCTTTATCTGGAAAAAGAATGTACTTTGTAATATGTTTAATGGTGATATTCTTACCTTATAGTTGTTGTGTTCTGTGACTAGTTAGTTCGTAAAACACTTAGCTTAGTTAGATTATTGTGATTGCTGCAATGACAGTTTTTGTTGTCATGCTACATCCAATGTCTTTTATCTATTATTTCTAACAGATGTTAGTTTTACGGAATGTGGTTATACTAAGGCCATACTGTCTGTTAGAAGTATTTCAGATGTTATGGAATGTGATTAATCAAATTTGAACTCTCGACAGGGTTAAGCTCCCATCAGGAGCCAAAAAGATTGTGCCCAGTGGATGTCGTGCTATGATTGGTCAGGTTGCTGGTGGAGGACGTACTGAGAAACCAATGCTTAAAGCTGGTAATGCTTACCA